ACCGCCCGCCACCCCCGCACCCGCTACTCGGCCGGCTGGGACGCCCAGTTCCTCTACATCCCCATGAGCTACCTGCCCACCTGTGTGGTGGACGCCATGATCTGCTGGTTATCCCCAAAGCCTGTCGGGGGTGACTGAGGCGTTTCCTGTGTTAACTTTGCTACTGTGGGACGAGGGAGGGAGGGGACGTGCGTGGGCTAGGAACCTCATCCTAGAGAATTCTAGAGTGGTAGGAACAAAGAAACACATTGTATGCCTGAGGAGCAGGGTCCTAACACACAGCGTGTCCCTTGAGTGGCTCCAGCACCTCAGCCACAGGACCCTGTGTGCTTGAGGAGCCCACTCTGGCCAAGGTTGGCCCACTTAGGAACCAGCTCCCTGTGTGCATGTCAGCTCTCAGGAGCCGGCGGAGGGCAGAGGGAGCTGATGGCGAAGACCCAGAGCAAGTGAGGATCCTCTGCCCTGAAGGGAACTGTGACAGGGGTGACCACTTGCAGGACACAGAGTGGACCCACGTCCTCAGGTGCCACCTCAAGGGAGGCCTAGACCCGCAGGGGCTGCGTGTGGCCGCGGGCGCCCCCTAGAGGGCTCCTGCCGCCAGTCCGCACAGTGTATAAGGAGAACTGAGCCCTCCACGTGGGAGCATGCTCCTGTGGGACAGAGTGGAATTGCTGGGTCAGTTGGAGGCTCCATTTTCAGTAGACTGAGGAAATCTACAGTTTTCTGCACTGGTTGGACCAGTTTGCAGTCCCACCAGCAATCCAGGAGTGTTCCTTTTTCATCACATCGCGCCGTTTGTTGTTAGTTCTGTGACACGTGCCTTTCTCGCTGGTGAGAGGCGGCTTCTCATTGTGGTTTTGCTTTGCATTGGCCTGATTATGAGGGATGTTGAACATGCATTTGCAATTCCTCTTTGGATAAGTGTCTCTTCAGTGTTTCTGCCCACTCTTGACTGGTTGTTTTGTTGTTTCGTGGAAGCTCTTTGTACATCTCTGTGATCTGTCCTATATTGTTGTACGCAGTGCAAAGATTTTCCCAGTCAGTAGGGTGTCTATTTGGCTTGGTTCATGTCTCTTGCTGTGCAGAAGCATTTCAGTTTGATGTAGCCCCATGTCTTTTTATCTTTTCCTTTGCTTTCTTTGCTTTGGTGATGAATCTTTCAAGGTGTCGTTGAGGTGTATGTCTTGCAGTGTTTTACTTATATTTTCTTCTACATATTTTATGGCTCCAGGTCTTAAGTCCAAACCTTTTTTATCCATTTTGAGTGGATTTCCGGGCATGGTGTGAGGTAGTGGTCTAGTTGCTTTTTTTGCTTATGTTGGTCCAATTTTCCCAGCACCACTCCACTTCTAGGAATTTACAAAAGGACACAAAAACATCAATGCTAAAGGATACATGCACCCCTGTGTTTGTTGCCGCACTGTTTACAATAGGTAAATCCTGGAAACAACCCAAATGCCCGAAACTAAATGACTGGACCAATAAGAGGCGGTCTCTGTACACAGTACACAGCATCAAAATCGATACGTTCACGCCATTCGCAGCAACATGGATGGGGTTTGGAGGGACGGCGCAGTGGATATGCCAGAGGAGCAGGAGAAATGTCAAATGGCTTCACTCATAGAAGGAATACGAGAGAATCAGATAAGACGGGGCTGGGGGAAGTGCACTGTTATTACAAAACACAACAAAAACAAACGGAAAATTAAACCAGAGATGCTGCAGGGGAGGGAGGCAGAAGGGATCAGAGGACTGGGGGGGGGCTACGGTGATGACCAGTGGGCCAAGTGGGAGAGAGGGGGAGTAGACAGTTTTCGAATGAACACTCAGCCCTCCCTGGTGGCACAGCGGGTGAGAGCACAGCACTGCAGCCGGCCACAGCCCCTCAGTGCCAGTTAGATCGATCCCCGGCCAGGGAGTGACCCACAGGGCGCAGCTGCCCTCTCCTGACCCGCCCGCTGCTCCCCTCAGCAGTGGACTTCATCCATCTGCCTGTCCTGCTCCCCGCTCTGTCTCTGGTGAGTCCTCTCACTACCTGGCACCTCTGGTCTGCACCCCAGTTCTGTGTGCACAAATAAGAAAATCTTTATGAAGGAAAAATGATGTAAATAGATATATAAGATAAGAAAAGAGAAGAAAACATGAAAAAAGAACAACTAAAATAAAATGGGCCCGAGTAGTCTTTGCCCCAAGAGCACCTGAGGCCTCTGACTGATGGTGACTCCGAGACAGTCGTCAGTGGAGAACAAACAATGATGTAAACGATAAATAAATCAATACATTTCTGAAAAGCCCAGGAGATGACTGACTGACTGGAGAGCCTGGGTTGGCTGCTCCCGCCTCCTCCCACTGGAGCGTCAGGCTCTGGTCCTCTCTGTCGCCAGGGGACTGTGTGGGGTGAGGAGCCGCTGTACCCAGGAAGCTGTAATGCTGACTGTGGTTACGCAAACAGCTGATACATGAAAGGCACAAACGTAAAACATCAAACAAACAAAAAAGTAGCCAGTGGCCACAGCAAAGGGACAAAGTCCCCAGGTTCTGAGGAGAGCAAGGCCTGTCCAAGGTCACAGATCAGACCTCAGAGTCCGGCCCAGCGGTGCTCACTGTGCTCAAGGCGCCTCTTCAGGTCCCGACAGGAAACAGCCAGGAGGGTGGAACCGAGACCCGAGCCGGCCGCGGCAGAACCGCTGGGCGCTGGGGCGCGGTTCTGTCCCAGCTCTGTCTGGGCTCAGCCCCACGCGCCTGCGCAGAGGCCAGACCCCGCCTCAGGCTTCTTGCCCTCCAGAGACTGTCCTTGTGGCCCGCCCGACGTCGCCCAGAGCCGCTATCACAGAGCTAGCTGGTCACTGGCCTCCCATCCTGCCCGGGGCCTTGCTCAGAGTCTGGACACTGGGATTTGGACTCCCGGGCAGCAGGGCAGATGTCGCCGGGAGGCCCAAGCACAGGCCGAAGTGCGGGGAGGACCCCAGAGGCCGGCGGACTCCAGCGGACAGACGTACAGACGCTGCCGAGTGGAGAGCAAGCAGGAGGGTCTGCCGGGCGAGG